TTTTTTTGCCAGTTGAAGACCTTCAATTCTAACAATGAGGCAAAGAAAACCAGCACATTTGCATGATACCAAGAAAGTATCTGGCTCTGCCTGTCACAAATTAAAATGCATAATCAGAGAAATCTAGCATAAAGAAAAGCATAGTATAGAATGATAWTTCAACAGCATGTTCTGTACAGGCAAGAGAAAATGCAGTCTGAATGTCACAGGACAATGGCTGAATACACTGCAGTACATCCTTACCACATAATGTGATGCACAAATCCAGGAAGGCCTATATACAGTTGAAGAGAACTTCTATGTATAGAAGAAACCTATTAAAAAAAAAATCTCTATAACAACTTAAATGTCTGTCTTTATTTATACAAGGAATGGAAGAATACATTCCAAACCTTTGATGGGATTGAGAAGGGAGGGGTAAATTACCTTTCTCTTAACAAGATACCTTTGTATGTTTTTGAGCATCCTGTTTGTTAAACCAATAAACAATGATAAATACATGACATGAAAACAAGGTTTAGAATGCAAATTAAAATTCTCATTTTTCAAAGTGAAAACATTTWAAAAAAAACTATTAAAGTTGACAGCTTAAAAATAATGGTTAAAGTAAATCACTTAGGGCAGAAAACCTCAGAATAAATAAATAAAACAGAAGGACTAAGGATGAGGTGACAGTTTTTTATATTTAACATAGAACTAGGCAGAAGATTTTCCAAGCTGATTTGGCTCACATGTGGTATCCCCTAATGAAGTAACAGTTTTAGATACTTTTACCACMTCATAAAAAGCAAATGCCAGGTATATATAACAAGTATATTAACACATAGGCAACAATTATATACATCAGTTGGATCCCCTGGTAAACTGAAAGCAGTTTTAAAAAATATTCCCCACCATCCTYTTAAGACACCTTTCAGGTTACCCATGAATAGGAAGCAACCACATTAAAACGAGTTAAACTATGAAAAATAAAAAGGGCCATGACCTTTATTTAAAAGTATGTAAAGGTAGTATAATATGTACAGGTGGCACATGGTGCCAATTTTATTTGCAGATATAGTATTCCAACTCAAATTTGCAAGTTACACCTTTGCCACAGCCTTGGCTAAATCTTGAACTAGTGCAGAATTCAGCTGTGCTAGAGTGCTGATCTTTGCATGCTTAGATGTAGCATACTTGTTCTTGATAGTCTGGAAGAGAAATAGCACAGTAATTACACCGGGAAATCAAAAATTTACAATATCCATTGGAAAGCAGTATGGAGATTCCTGGGAAAGMTAGGAATGGAACCACCATTTGACCCAGTTATTGCCCTTCTTGGTCTATTCCCTGAAGACCTTAAAAGAGCGCACTACAGGGATACTGCCACATCGATCGATGTTCATAGCAGCACAATTCACAATAGCTAGACTGTGGAACCAACCCAGATGCCCTTCAAT